GAATGACGACCTTGGAAATAGGTGAGACAAAAATTTAATAAGGCTAAAATAACCGGCGAATGGGAACTATTTAGAACCACACGCACCTGTTACAACATAGCCTTACGAAAAGTCAAGAGAGAGTATTGGAGAAAGCACTGTGAGGAGATAACAGGCACTCTAGAATGTGTCAGGCTCCAAAAATTCTCTTAAAAGACATACAACACACAATAAACACCCTTAAGAATGAACTGGGGGAGTACTCAATCACAGAGAAGGAAACAGTAAGGGAACTCTTTAGGGTTTACTTCCCTGGTGCATAAACCACAGAACACACACCGGCTAATGAAATCTAAACGGACTAGAAGCTCATAATAGAGCCAACAGGGAAGATTGGAGGATAGCCAAACAAGTGATGAACTATGGTAAACTCAAATGGGTAATTAGCTCGTTCAAACCATATATATCACCAAGTATGGATGGGATGTATACAATAATGTTACAAAGAGGTCCTGATATTTTATACAGCAGACTATGTAACATACTCAGAAGTAGCCAGGCCTTTGGACACATACCAAAATCTTGGAGAAATATTAGGGTAACTTTTATACCAAAACCTGGGAAAATAGAACAGGAAATGGCAAAGTCTTATGTCCTTTGTACTTAAGACTTTGGAAAAACTTCTAGATAGGCATATTAGAGACGGGATATCGGCCAATACGCCTATAGTGCAGGGAAATCAACTGAAACAGCTCTCCATCGATTAACAAAAGGGATGGAGAACAGACTGGAAAGCAAGGAGGTAATGCTGGGAGAATTCTTGGACTTCGAGGGTGCTTGACAATACCTCCGTTGAATCGATCATTAGATATCTCAAACACAGAGGAATTAAGGACACGTGCGTGTCCTAGATCGACTTTATGTTAAGGGAGATAAATATACACACAACCCTTATGGGAGAAACAATAGCGAGTAGCGAGACGATGTCCGCAGAGTGGAGTGCTGTCTCCACTCCTGTGGAACCAGATAAAGGACATAGAACGCTGGGATATGCCGATGATCTAGTGATCATGGCACAGGTAAAATACAACACTATAGTAAGAGATCGAATGCAAGAGGCTCTAAATATAGTAACAAAATGGACAGAGGCGAATGGACAAAACATTAGCACAAACAAATCTAACATAATTGCATTCACCCGCAGGAGAAAATTGGAGGGACTAGGGCCTCTAAATCTAAGAGGTGCAAGCAACCAGCTTAAGGGGTATGTAAAATATCTCGGGGTTATGATTGACTCGAGACTTATCTGGAACCAGCATCTAGAAAAAACTACAAGAAGAGCGGAAACCTCGTTAATGATGGTAAGGCGATTCTTTAGAAAAAAAAAAATGGGGGTTAAAACCAGACATGGTATATTGGCTTTATAACATGGTGGTGAGACTGATAATAACATACGTGTGGTGGCCAAAGATACAGCAAAGGAAAGCAATAACGAGGCTAAGCAAGGTACAAAGACTTGCCTGCCTCGGAATAACGGGGGTAATGAAAACAACCCTCACAGCTGCAATGGAAGCACTAATAGGACTCCCACCTCTTCACTATATGATACAAGGGGAGGCAAGATTAGGTACTTACAGATTAGGGAATACACTGGGAAATCTTGAACTTAGGCCAGGTCACATGAGTATCTCAAGGTTAGTGACATGAAACATGCTAGACATGAGATCAAACCATATAACCAAGAGGTACTCTTTTAATACTTCATTTAAGGTTTTATTACAGGAAAGTGCGGAAATCCACATTAGGGAGCCCAATGCCCAACCACAGGCACAAACCTGGTATACAGACGGGTCTAAGACTGCGGAAGGCACTGAGGCGGGAGTATTCTCCAAAAACCCTGATATTAACCATAGCTATGCTATAGGAATACATTCCTCGGTATATCAGGCCGGGGTATACGCAATTTTGCAATGTGCGAAAACAAACAATGAAAGAGCTGTCGAAAATCAGCATATGCAAATAATGTCAGACAGCCAAGCGGCACTTATGGCTGTATCGAGTCAGAAAGTTACGCCGAGGCTGGTGTGGGAATGCATCGAAGAACTAAGAACACTGGCAGACCGAAATAGAGTAAAACTATTTTGGGTGTTATGTCACCAAGGGATCGAAGGCACCGAAAATGCTGACGAATTTGCAAAAAGAGGGTCAGAAGAAACAACGGAACCAGACACAAACCCAGGAGTACCAAAAAGTACAGACCAGGGTTTTATAAACGACTGGATTCGGGAACAATACATTAACTATTGGGGAAGCACTCCAAAACAGGCACATGAAAAATCCTTCATAGGCAGACCATGTCCCAAAAGAACTGGAAAACTACTCTTTATGAATACGAACCAGTTGAAAGTGATAACAGGGTTCATGACTAGGCACGCTCCAGTAAAGGGACACTTGAACAAAATTGGCATGTACAATGGGGAACTCATGTGATGACTATGTCACAAGAAACCAGAAACGGCCAAACACATACTTTGCGAATGCGAAGCTCTAGATTGCAAAACACAGGCACTTTTTGGACGACCCCAGGTTGATCCAACAACGTATAGAACCTACTCACCCAAGGATATGTACAAACATGTACAAGGTATAAAGGTAACAGAGTGGGTGCTATGAACTAACATAAGGTAAAACACAATAAACCAATAGGATTCAGTGTTATTCGAAGTTGAGCCCAGGAGAAGAAAAAAAAAGATAAAACAAATCTTAATCAACATGTTAAAAACATTAATTATTGGGTGTCACTACATGATCCAAACACTACTGGCTTATTTCATGCACCTATAACAGATGTGCGGGTTTTGTCGTATATACTAGTTGTATGCGAATAGACTACATGTTATTTTCCTTGTCAAAAAGTGCAACATTTTTGTTTTTGTATTGAAATTAGAGCGATTTAAAATATTTGCTACGTTTCTTCGGAGTAAAATATTTAGTTAAAATATTAATTTGACTATAGAAAAATATTTACTTTATAATGCTGGCTGTTTACTATGTTTTTAAGTTTTTTTATTTATTTACATATTTGTGTTTCACATTTCTTTATTTTTCTTTAACATCTCTGTAACGTGTGGAGGGTGGATTACACCACGGAACTTAGGCTTCATTAGGCCCATTGTGCATCCTCCTGAGAAGATAGGCACCTCCTAGCTTGTGAGCCAGCCTACAGATTTAATGTAGTTGACAACGTCGCCAAGAGGTGCTTCTCTTATATCGGCCGGTGTTAGCCGATACTAGCCGAACACAAATCTTCTAATAAATGAGAGCGTCGAGCAATCGTAAGGGATATGGTCGATAGTCTCATTTTCTTGTTCGCACCCTCTACAGAGTGCAGATTCTAACAGCTCCATGATATGAAGATGCTTTCGTAACATATGTCATCATTTTATAAAGAAAAAAACTTTCTGAATATATAAATATAAACAATGTGTTTTTTATGAAATAACAAGGTTGTACTGGTTTGTATAAAAAAATACATGTACTGAAGAATCAAAGTTCGCCAATAATTGTATTCAGAAATAACAAGCATTTTTTAACAGATACTCTCCTAATAATATACAGTAAATATAAAAACAACAATATATTTTGTTCAATATGTACATTGCATTACCAAATTAAAAATTTTAGACAAATTAAAGCCAATCTAGACAGTAGCAAAAATAAAGCGTAAATAGAATAAAAAATACAGATCCGTATTCAAAAAAATATACTTGATGGTGGCCTTCCAGAAACGAAACGTGTATAAAAAATATGTATACGGTAAATTAGGCGCTACTTAATATCAAATAAAAAATTTATTAATTTTTTTTTCTAATTTGTAAAATAAAGGCAATACAATGGAAAATCGAAAATAGTCATTTGGTTTTCCTTAAACATCTTGGAAACCGGTCCTGATATTCTCGGTTTTAGAACATCACTAAATTAGTCTTTTTTTTCCCATTTAACCGAGTTTGTTATTTTTTCGGTTTTCGACAAAGCAATACTGTTCAATATAAAAAGTAGCCACCCTGTATACAGAAAAAAATCTACATTGTTAAAGATTACAATAGTTATTTTAATCAGATGTTCAGTAAGTATGTTTTTCTTCAAATTTAATTGTTTTTTTGACTCGTATTCATATTAAGGCGGATACTGACTAGAGCATTTTTACTCGCACGAATTGCGTGCGCACACAAAAGCAAATATATTGTACGCGAAAATTATTTTTAGCATAAAAGTAGTGCGCGTTAAATTGTCGTTAAATTGTCGAGAAGACGAAATGTGATTATTGCAAGTGCCGCCTTTATACTATTGCAAGAGGTAGAGAAAAATGGGAAAAACCGTAAGCGATGGTGGATTACAAAATTATTTGAGAGCAGGCAGGCATACAGTGGGTATAATTTATTAACAGATATGAGGCTACAAGAAAACAGTGGTCACTTTAAAAATTTTAATCGTATGTCATCTGAAGATTTTATGTTTCTAATAAATGCGATTGGTCCAAAAATTGGTAAAATGATACTAAATTTAGAAGATGTATTAGTGTACAAGAACGGTTAGCTTTTACCTTGCGTTTCTTCGCCGACGGAGATTCCTACACGAGTCTACAGTATTTATTTAAAATTTCGAAGCAGGTAATTTCTACAATTATTCCTGAAGTCTGCAAGGCGCTGAGTGATGTGCTAAAAGAACATATACGGGTGAGTATAAAAAGATATTTATTTATTAATAAACGTAATGTAATGTATAATTCTTAAATAAAAAATAAACTAGAACAAAAACAATAATGAGAATAACATCAAATAGGATAGACAACAAAATTTATATAAAAGGCAATGGTATGTCGTAAGTTTACAAGTTTATAGATCTAGAAAAACAGCATTTAGATCTGGCATATCCAGTGAAGAATGGGAAGAACTGGGTGTAGGGCATTGAGAACTTGAGTTTGATTGGGAAATACTTCCAGGAGAAGGTGTTCGATGGGTTCAGTCCATACGTGCATACGCATTCATGGGAGAAGTTTCATATTTTCCTCTGTCTGCTGCATACAAAATTTGGTTTATTGCATGCTCAACTTCAACACGTGTCCTTGGGCTATATGTTTTTAATTTGTTTCCGACATGTGCGCCATAAACAGAGCATGGATCTGCAGGTTCTTGCGGACAAGCAACGGTTTCTTTCAAAATGAGATAGGCCTCTTCAGCTCTTGAGTTGCTGTTCTTTGTACTTATTTTGTTTCTTTTTGGCTTGGGCGATTGGAAAGTATGGCACTTGTCCGTTTCATTATTTACGGAAACAGGGTTTTCTATTATAGATGAAGCATGTCCACCAGTCTCATTATTACCCGTCAGAGTTACATCAATGTTTTCTGAAACATGGTCTTCGGCAATATTTTCGTCGATGTTTTCGCACTGAAAATATAAAAATATTTTATTTACACCTTTATAATAAACTATACAAGCAAACTATTTATTTGATTTTCACTAATTTGATAATTTATTTTAACAATTATTTTGCTAACACTGTAGATTCTTCAGAAAATATACTACAAAATATCTAATGAGAGTGGTCGAGGCGTTAGGGTGCCTGACCCACAAAGGATACTCCGAAACATGTGTTAAACGTTGTAAAAGCTATTTAACAGTGGGGAATTGTTGGTTTCAATTTGATCATTTAAAATAATATTCTCTTTTTTGTATCTATTAATGATTCTAAAACATTTAATTTCTGACATTTATTTTGAACATGAGGTGTTTTGAGACTTAGTTTGCTTGTATAGTTTATTATAAAAGTGTAAACATGGATTTTCGTCAAGTAAAGATCGAAACAATAACACATTGTATTTATTTTCAGATGCCATCAACCCCTGAAGAATGGCTTGAAATTTCAAAAAGATACGCAGAATTATGGAATTTTCCAAATTGCGTTGGGGCAATAGTTGGCAAGCATGTTGCTTTACAAGCGCCATTTAATAGCGGGAGCGAATATTACAATTATAAGGGTTTTTTCAGTATTGTGCTATTCGCAGTGGTTGATGCCGACTATAATTTCATATATGCTGATGTTGGATGCCAAGGAAGAATTTCGGACGGTGGAGGATTTAAACATAGTGAGCTTTATAAGAAATTGACCCGGAACGAGTTGAACCTACCAGAAGATTCCAATTTACCCGATCGTGAGAAGAAAATACCGTATGTTTTTCTTGGCGATGAGGCATTTGCTTTATCTCGAAATGTCATGAGACAGTTCTCAGGCCAGTTTCAACAAAGATCTCCTAAACATATTTTTAATTATAGACTTAGTCGAGCTCGCAGATTAGTAGAAAATGCATTTGGAATTTTGTCCGCTGTGTTTCGGATATTGAGAAAATCTATGCTACTCCAGCCAGAAAAAGCGAAATATATAGTATTGGCAATACTTTTTTTACACAATTTTCTATGACGAAATCATCGCTCTAAAGATGTATATACGCCACCAGGAACATTTGACAATGAAGTTAATGGACAGTTTATAGCGGGTAGTTGGAGAATGCAGAATGACACCATGACATCCATATTAGAAATATACTATTAGAAATATACTATTAGAAATATACTATTAGAAATATACTATTAGAAATATACTATTAGAAATATACTATTAGAAATATACTATTAGATATATACTATTAGAAATATACTATTAGAAATATACTATTAGAAATATACTATTAAAAATATACTATTAGAAATATACCTCGAAAATCAAGTTTACCTGCTCAAGAAATTCGTGATGAATATAAAGCCTACTTTTCAACCAATGGCCGTGTGCCGTGGCAGGATGAATATGTTTAATTTATATTAAATTAATTAATATTGTATCCAACTGCTTACCTGTGTGTCAGCTGTGTCTTTGGGCTCATCATTATCTAATAAAAAGTGAAACCTTTTAAATGCGAACCACTTCGATATATAAACTTCGTCAGCACCTGAAATAAGAAGAAGGTTATGAAGTTAAAGCGGCAGTAATAAATAAGCAATTTATATACCATTATCTATTAATAAAATGTTACTCATACTTTCAGTATTTACTTACCTTTACCTGTTCCAGTAGTCTGTGTACCTTTAGCTTTTTCTCTGCGGAAAGAACCCAGCAGATTGCTTATTTTTTGTTTTACATCCAAAACACTAATGCTTAAATTTATAGCTATGGTAATCCAAGCATCCTGCTTCTTCTGTCTATTAAAATGCAAAAAATTTTTTGGATCCCATAAAAGACGACATTTTTCGTACTCATCTATCAATTTCAGGGATAATTCATTGTTCCATTCCATTTTCATTTAGTTCACAACAAAACACAACGACAACTACGTCCACAATGAGCATGTTATGCGTACGAAAACCTTTTGATCTTCTCGAAAGACCGACAGCCGCCGGATCGTGTTTGTGCGCGCAAAATTGCTACGCGTACGCATGTGCGTGGCGTCCTCATCTGATCATTTTTACGCGTAAGTCGTTCATGCGAGTGAAAATGCTCTAGTCAGTACCCGCCTTTAAAATATTAAATATATTAGATAAAACTTATTAAATGTTGACAGGCATAAAAAACAAATGATTAAAAAATGGAATTGTTTTCCAAATATTTTGGTAAAATATTATACACCCTACCCTGTAAAGATAGGAAATTATAAAAATACTCTGCAGAATCTTGAGTACAGGGTATAACTTAAAGTTTGCATTATGAAAAGATATGAGCTGAAAAATTAAACAAAAATTATTATATTTTAAATTTTAAATAGAGAGCACCTTGTATACTGGCATTGACAATATTATTTTGCATGTAAGCGAACTGAAAACGTGACTAGTTGTAAAAAGTAACTAAATTAGTTTATAACTGAATACATATATGACAAAAAATTTGTCTACAAAATGACCATTGTATTAAGAGACTATAAGGACCTGGATACGTTGTCTTACAGAACATGAAAAGGGATGGCTTTGTGTAGAACATATGAAAAAATAAGTTCAATGACTGTTGTTGTGGAAATACATTTTAAATAAAAATCTGATGTCCAACACATGACTTTTCAATCTAGTTATTATAGGCTTTTTCCGGTTATTTTGTACAACCTATTGCAGCACCTCTGTAAATGTTTCGAGGATAAACTAAATATATACATTTTCCACATACATCTACCTCGAAACATTTTTCTATAGATATTCGTTGAAAACGAAAATACTGAAAAATTTAAATTTAGGACTCTTCCTCTTCCATTACGGTCCATTTTAGAAAAATTATGTAAAAACAAAAATTATAGAGATCGATATCGCAAACAACTTTTAGTTCAACAATTTTCATAAAAATCAGAACTTGGCACATTTTGTCAAATTTCTCGAATACGGACCATTTTAGGAAATTTTGACATCAAACAAAAGTTATAGATAATAATATTAGAAGTAACTTTTATTTGAACAATTTTCTTCTCCAAACATAAATAACAGACATATTCCATAAAATATAAAAACGGCGTCCCATAAAGTACCCCCCCCCAGATGTTCCGACTTGTCCAAAATCTAATTATTTCACGTCAGGCATAAATAAAATTTAAGTTTAAAATTTAATGTTTTTTCTTTTTCCGTTTTTGAGTTTTCTTCAAAATTCGAAATTTACACATTTTCTCAAATATATCGAATACGGTCCATTTTAGAGAAATTATGTATAAAATTAAAATTATAGAGAATTATATTACAAACAACTTTTATTTGAATAATTTTTATAAAAAAATATTTTTTTTTACATTTTGTCAAATTTCTAGAATACGGACCATTTTAGGAAATTTTTGTACAAAACAAAAATTATAGATAATAATATTAAAAGTAACTTTTATTTAAAGAATTTTCTTCTCCAAACGTAAATAACAGATATATTCCATAAAATATAAAAATAACCATCTATACAGTACCCTCCCAGATGTTCCAACTCTACCCAAAATCTAATCAGTTCATTGGACGCTGGAATAAAGCTTAAGTTTAAAATTTGATGTTTTTCTGTGTATCGGTTCATACGTTATGGTGGATACAGACACACAGATACACACAGACACACACAGACACACACAGACACACACAGACACACACACACACACACACTCACTCACACAGACACACACAGACACACACAGACACACACACACACACACACTCACTCACACACACACACATACATACATACACACACACACACACACACACACACACACACACACACACACACACACACACACACACACACACACACACACACACACACACACACACACACACACACACACACACACACACACACACACGCACGCACGCACGCACGCACGCACGCACCCACACACACACACACGCACGCACGCACGCACGTACGCACGCACACACACATCGCGAAAATAGTCAAAACGGATTCAGGGAACCTCAAAACGTAAAAATCCGTCGAAAACTCGAGGTCGAAAAAAATCATAATTCCTATACTTTCCTTATATTTGTATACAGATAGGAAAGTAAAAATGTGATTTTTCTAAAGTTAGACAAATTACAATTTAACACCCTACGTAAAAGACACTTTTTCAACAATGTCACATATTCCAGGGAATGTTATTTAATATAAAAAAAAACAAACCTGGTCTTCTTCAATTGGACACAATACAAAAGAGGAAAATGAATTTCAGTCCAATATCAGAAAGTTTATTATTAAACACCCTGTATAATCCAAACTGTTAGTGATGGGGAGTTGCAGTAATGGTAAATTTTGATTAAAATGACGTAATCTAAAACATATCTGAATTTAGAAAGAATCTCACAAAAAGCCATTTCTCTGAGATTAGTGCGGGATCTCTTCAAAGTAATTATTGAAAAAGATGTGCTCTGCAAAGTGATATGCCTGTCGTCATTGCATTTGTTTTTAGAATAATTAAAATTTTAGGAAAGAACTATCACAGAACCGTAATTAAAAAATTTGTGGTACTGATGAGATGATGTCACTATTTTTTTGAAAAACGTTGAATTAGTATTTTAACATGTTATCAATTTTTGTTATAACAAATGAAGATGGCCCTAAAGACACGAAGCGTCATATTAAATATTTAATGTTACGATCTTGTAGCATTTTTACTATAAAATAAACTTTTTCTTTTTTTAATATTTTCTTGAATAAAATTTTTTTAGTCACAATTGAATATTGATTTTCACTCTACAACCCGAGAATGATAATAGCCACTGTAGATTTTTTTCAGCTACTGTTGTTGTTCCACATAAAAGATAACTTTTTCTATTTAATCGTTTTCGTATTTGTTACCGTTTAAAGTACACATATTAATGTTGAAACATGTCCAGGTTGTTTAATTCTAACAGAAACATTAAAAATTACTCTTTACCATTGTATTAATAATAGACCATTTTATAGTATCATTGATACTAAACACATACCTATATATATAATGTTATAGATTTAAAATATATAAAAAGATCGCTTACCAATGCGTGAATACACCGCAAATTCCATTCAAAATAGAGAAATCGTGTTGTATGTTCTTTTATTCTCTTTTTTACGCTACTCTCTCTTCAAGTTTCATCAAAAATTCTTCTTTTTTCCGTCTTCCATCTAAATGATGGGTAACACAGTCGTAAGCGTCTCAGATTAGATATTTATTTTCAATTGTAGGCATTTTATTAACAAGATTTGTTAATTTTGTATGAATATCTAAGGCCTGAAATTAACTTTAATTAACATGGACTTAATAGAAAATAAGTCAGTGTGAAGGGATTATAATTAAAATTTTTGAGATGTCGTTTTATGAAACAACTGTAAAAACACTTTTTATACATAGAACAAATATACGGAAAAATGTCATATTAAGCCTGACTTATGTCTTAACGACTAGCGAATGAAACTAAGAATTATTTAAAGATTTTTCAGTTATTAATTAATATGTAATTTTAGTAACATTAAACAGTCACTGCTTGAGGATTTAAAACTATTTTTATTGCCTAGGCAGTGAAACTAATAGGTAAATAAGCAACAAAATTAAGCAAAGTGGAGTTATTGGTTTAAAAACTTGCTAAAATTTTATGTAGCAACACAGGAGATGCTTAGCAACTGAATTGATAGAATATTACAAATAATTACTCACTTCACACAATGTTCTTTCTGGATAATTCCAACATGTTAACTTCATCAAATCTTTTAGGATATACTATATCCCAGCTTTAATTTTACAGACTCTTACAACATATTCTCTTCATTTAGCAGAAAAAATTTCATCTAAAATTAACTTATAACATATAATATATATTCCGTTAGCTTATGTTGCTGGCAGACAGAGCTAAATTTCATGTATGCAGGCGCTTAAATCGGGCGATGTCGCTCGCACTCCTAGTTTTAAGATACGAAATTTTTACATGCAGGAGGGCTACGAAAATGTTCGTCTTGCTCCTGTGTAAACAGTGTGTAGAGAGGGGGTCTATTTATATTCTTAGCAATATCTCCAATATCCTGATAATTTGAACATTTGATTAATCAATGATTTGTATTTAACGTATTAGTTGTCCTTTACCTATCTTTTTTCAATTTTTGAAGTAAATCTTGCCTTTAAAATATTTGTTATTAATTATTTGAAAACCTAGAGAAAGAGGAAAAAATGGTATATACTATATACCAGAGTTAATAATTTTTTTCTTAATAAATAAGGTGCATTTAAAAATTATTACTTTTATTTAAAAAAAAGTTGAAAGGATCGTACTCCTGTTCGCGATATAGAGGACTTAAGAAACCGCATCATTGATGCGTGCAGGGTAATTAGAGAGACTCCAGGATTATTTGAGCCAATACGTGGCTCAATGCGCCGACGTCTAGACGCATGCGTAATGTCTGAAAGTAGACATATTGAACATTTACTATGATTTCTACATGTTGTATGTTTTGTTTTTAATAAATTAGTTTTGATTATTCCCTTTTTTAATCATTTAATGCAGCTGGTAACTACAAAATAACAATACATCCAGTTCGCATTTATGACGATGTATCTCTGTAGTTATTCGTAAAATAATTTTTTGTTGCGAATTGGTTTATTTTGGGCAAAAAATTCAAGAAAATTTTTTTGTTTAGAATGAAACAGGCTATCGTAAATAAATTTTTAAATGGTAAACAAATAATAAGACAAAAAGTTACGTTGGAACGAAATTTTAGGGATTGCGTTTTCCACCCCTTACAACTATAGGGTAAACCAAATTAATTATTGGCTAAGGGTCTTTTTGGTAGTAGAAAATGTCAGGTTAATTTCAATATTGT